GGCCATTGAAGAATATTCCACTTCTTTTCCTTCAAAAGCTCCTGGGTTGCTTTTGCAGTGTGTTTTGGATCATTGGCAATCTGTACTGTGAAGCGCCTTCCAATCAACTTTGCTGCATTAGGCTGAATCTGGGCTGACAGTATATCTCTAAACACTGCAGGATTCATCCAGCTGCTGTCTTCTGTCACATCATCAATAAACACCAATGACCCAGTGCCAGTGGAAGCCATGCATGCCCATGCCATCACACTGCCCCCACCATGTTTTACAGATGATGTTTTGTGCTTTGGATCATGAGCTGTTCTAAGCCTTCTCCACACTTTTTTCTTCCTGTCATTCTGGTGCAGATTAATCTTAGTTTCATCCGTCCAAAGAATGCTTTTCCAGAACTGGTCTGGCTTTTTTAGATGTTTTTTGGCAAAGTCTAATCTGGCTTTTCTATTCTTCAGGCTTATGAATGGTTTGCACCTTGTGGTGAACCTTCTGTATTTGCTCTCGTGAAGTCTTCACTTGATTGTTGACTTTGACAATGATACGCCCACCGCCTGGAGAGTGTCCTTCACTTGTCTGGATATTGTGAATGGGTGTTTCTTTACCATAGAGAGGATCCTGCGATCATCCACCACAGTTGTCTTCCGTGGACCCCCATGCCCTTTTCTGTTGCTGAGCTCACCAGTGTGTTTTTCTTTCCTCAGAATGTACCAAGTTGTTGAAATGGCCACTCCTAATGTTGCTGCTATCTCTCCGATGGATTTGTTTTGTTTTTGAAGCCTTACAATGGCCTGTTTCACTTGCATGGACAGCGCCTTTGAACCCATGATGTAGGTTCACAGCAACAGATTCCAAATGTAAATACCACACTTAGAATCAACTCCAGACCTTTTACCTGCTTAATTGATAAAGAAATAATGAAGGAGTAGGCCACACCTGGCAATGAAACAGCTTTTGATTCAATTGTCCAATTACTTTTGGTCCCTTGAAAAAGGGCAGATGGCTTCTCTTAAGAGCTGTAATTCCTAAACCCTTCCTCCAATGTGGATGTGCATACCCTCAAATTCAACCTGAGAGTGTGCACTTTCAGCCCATATCCATTATATAACTATAGCTTGAACATGTTTTGGTAAATACGTGAAAAAAACTAAAATTGTGCCTGTGTCCAAATATATATATGGACCTTACTGTATGAAGGGGTAGCTTTACAAAGAAGACCGTGATCTGTACACAGTCAAGTCTTTATGACCTTTCCTAATATACGGCCACATTTATTTGGCGAGTTGTTTAAAAGAAGGGAGGAGCACGCTGGTGTGTATCTCACTAATACTGTGTTGGACAATGACACAGTTAAAGGACTTCACACAAATTTGGACAGTTGCTATTAGTTATTACCGGTACAGCGCTGAGCAAACCCTTTGGCGCTATATAAACTCGATGTAATAATAATAATAATAATTACCGCGTGAAAATTAATTTTACTGTGTTGGACATTTGCACCGTTCAAGGACTTCAAGTTATTTTTATCGGCATGATTGCTATTGCTTACCGCCAAGTGAAAATTGACATGAGACTGCATGTTTCCTGACCCTCTGTCTGAACAGTGCTCTTGTGGCGATGACATTCACTCTCCAAAATAAAAAAAAAAAAAAAACACTATAAATACACACCAAACTGAGTATGTGCAGTGTGTCTCCTATAGCTCTGTACTATCAACAGATGGATTGGGGACTGTGGAAGAAGGGGAAGATCAGAAAAGACAGGATCAAACAGTCTTTTTAACACAATGCAGAGGATGAACTCCTTCGGTTTCATAGTGAGTATATACCAAGCATGCTTTACTGCATATACAGACTGATTTTACTGTTCTGGGTTTAGTAACACTTTAACAACGTTAATACATATACAGTATATAATGTGCAAATACAAGCAATTCTGTCAAAAATACAGAGCAAAGTTTTCAACCAAGGACTTTTGCACAAAATGATTATCCATGATACAATGTCATTATAACAGTGCCTTTTATAACATAGGTAAGAATTTTGTTGCAAATTTGTACCTATTACAGGGCTGAAGTTCTGAAATTTAACCTATTCTTCAATTTTTACTTTTTTTTTTTTTTATAAAAGATCAGTCAACTTGGAGGGCAGCTGAAATCTAACATACCAAAAAAAAAAAAAAGATGCAGTATTTAAGAGGAGAGAAGACGAAGCTATGTCACTAAAGCTAGAATGCATGTTGCAACACCAATTTCCAGGTTGTCTGCAGGTACAGTTTAGGTATCAAGCTATGCGATGTATTTAAAAACTGTAACTTAATCTATACAGTAACAAGCTAGTAGGCAGAATCTACTGTGCTGGATTTAGCAAGAGGTTGCAAACTCCCAAGTTCCTGTTTTGACATGTACTGCTGTAATGAGCCTGAGACAGATAAGCAGACTTCAACACAACCCTCTGCAGGAGCTCCAATGTGGCAAGATAGCTCAGTCGCCTCTGTTGCAACTCTCAGCCGGAAGGATATGTGTTCAGTGTTTGGCTTTCCTCCCTACGTTTTGAAACCATGGTTTTAGACTTGCTGGACCAAACATCTGTGTTTGGCATTAAAAAAAAAAAAAAAACAGTAATCTGCTAGGAGCAAAATGGCTGTACTAAAATGACAGTAGGTTATTCTAGACACCTGGTGCCTAACCTGGAGCTCTTTGGTTGTATGGCTCTTGGAACCCGAGAGCCGGTTCACACTATAGAAACGCAGTCCAGATTCATTCCGCATGCGTTTTTGATGTGTTCTGGTGTGGTTTTTATGCTTTTTGATGCGTTCTCATGCGGTTTTTTTATGGATTCCTGTTAATTTTTCCCCTCTCCTTTTCTTCAATTTAAATAGGGACAAGTGCGTTCTGCTGTGTGTTTGATGCGTTTTACCCCGTTCCAGTTCAGTTCTGTGCAAAAAAAAATGCAGCCTGTTCTACTTTTCTTCTGCAACCGGAATGCACTAGAACTGCAAGCACTGATGTGAACTTTGACAATGACAACCATATAACCTACTTTCTGTGCATTTTGGATGCAGAAAAAAAGCATCTGAAATGCATATAGTGTGAACTGGCCCTAAGAGTCTGTATTTAAAGTGGGAATACTGATTATAAAGTGGCAATAGCAGTGATCCCTACTAGTCTCATATAACACGTTCTGTCTTTCACTGACCTCTGCAGCATGTCTCCAGTCTCTAACTAAACCTGCACCGTGTACAGTCTCTGACCATCACTTGCCTCTAGGATGTCAGGAGTCCTTTCTAGCAGTACATATACTGAACATTGGATGAAGTTCTTTGGTGATGTCAGGGGCCACAGATAAGGCCCTCAATACCTTGTAAATAGACAACCATAGTTCTAGACAGAGCACTGCTATGTCTGCTCTTAACATTTAAAGAAGTTGTACAAAACACTTTAGATTTAGGCCTCATGCCCACAGGGCAGTTTGAAACCTCTCCTAGAAGCTTTTCCCCCTGGCAGCAGCATTTTTGCAGAAAAACCGCCTGACGCTTGTGAAAGTGTTTAACTCGCGTTTACAGGCGTCAAGTGCTTGGGCATTAATTAATTTCATTGGCCAGAATAATAATTTATTCTGGCCATTGAATGGAATAACGCTCAAGCGCTAAATGCATAGAGCATTAACACGCGTTTACAAGTATCAAGTGTTTTTTCTGCCAAAACGCTGCTGCTCATGGACGCACTGACAGTGGGGGTTTTATCCTGCTCTAAACGCAGCAAAAAGTCTATGTGTGCATGAGACCTAAAAGTGGTTTTAAACCCAAAACCAAAAATATAATATATTTCAGCTTATGAAACATTAGATGTGGTGGCTGCATTCGTTGTTTTTTTAGGCTTTTTTCCTGTTTTCACCTGGTGATCTGGCCAGTAATACACCTCTAGTATTAGTGTGCCCCCCCCCCACTCTGGATGAATGAGCACAGGGGACAAAGCAGATAGCAGCATTGTCAGTCTGGGGTGAGGATAGTGTTAAAAGTACAGATTCAAATACACTAACAAATTGTAGCTAAACTCCAACTCACACTTTATAATCACTTATAGCAAACTTTTTTTTCCCCCTTTTCGGATCAAGGTTGTACATAAATGTATAAAAGCTGATCATTGTAATAACCTCTGCCAGTGTTAACTGGTTTGTCTCAACCATGTAAACTGATACATTCTGCTGGAGATCTTGAGCTTTTAAAAAAAACAGATTTTATGGCTGGATCACCAGATGAAATTAGAAGAAAGCAAGCCTAATATAAAAAGAAAACTAATGCAGCCATTACATCTAAGAATTGGTAAGCTGCAATATAAAACCGTAAATCTTTGCTTTAGGTATTCACCTAACACTAGCCCGTAAGGTCCCCATGCCTCTAATGCTGAGGACTAAAGAATAAAATCCAGCCAATTCAGCTTGCAGTTCTCTGTTATGTCAAAACATTGGAGCAAATATTGCATATTGTGTTAAAAGAAGTCTCCAGGCTTAACAGAAAAAAGGTTGAGAAACACTGCCCTAGATACTAAAAGCAGAATCAGGAAGACAGTCACCAAAGCATGCAACTTTAACCACTAGCCTACAGGGCACTTATACCCCCTTCCTGCCCAGACCAGTTTTCAGCTTTCAGCGCTGTCACACTTTGAATGACAATTGCGCAGTCATGCAACACTGTACCCATATGACATTTTTATCATTTTTTTTTTAGACAAATGGAGTTATATTTTGGTGGTATTTAATCACATGTGGGTTTTTTATTTTTTGATAAACCAAAAACAACAGAAAATTTTGAAAAAAAAAAACCACATTTTTTCTTAGTTTTTGTTATAAAATTTTGTAAATAAGTGATTTTTCTCCTTCACTGATGTGCGCTAATGAGGCTGCAGTGATGGGCACTGATAGGCTGCACTGACGAGGCACTAGTAGGTGCCACTGATGGGCATTGACAGGCATCACTGATGGGCACTGAAAGGCAGCACTGATAGGCGGCACTGACTGGCACTGTTAGGTGGCACTGACTGGCACTGTTAGGTGGCACTGATTGGCAGCACTGATCGGTGGCACTGACTGGCATTGATAGGTGGCATTGACTGGCACTGATAGGTGACACTGAAAGGCAGCTCAGATGGGCACCAATATATGTGGCATTGATGTGCACTGGTAGGCACTGATATGTGGTATTGCTGTGGCACTGATGGGCACAGGCAGGTGGCACTGATGGGCACTGGCAGGTGGCACTGCTGGGGCCACACTGATCATCAGTGCCCTGATGATCAGTGTACATGTCCCCTCTGAGGAATGCCGATTACCGGCTCTCCTCTCCTCTCGAGCTGTCAGCGTGACAGCTCGAGAGGAGAGAACTGCCGATAACCGGCATTTTCCTATCTGCATTTGATCAGCTGTGATTGGACACAGCTGATCACGTGACCAAGCCGACATCTTCGGCTCTTTCCGTTGATCGGTGAGCCGTTGTCCGAGGTACACAGCGCACCACCAATCGCTGTGCTGTGCACTCCCGCATCTGCGCATGCACCGTTAGAGTGGGAGGACGTCATATGACGTCCTCCCAGAACGAGAGAACCGCCTTGTGTCCATCATTGGCGGGTGGGAGGTGGTTAAAAGTCGCAACAGCAGTTCCCACACCTGTTTGACTTTTCAACAGGTTTTTGACTTGTCTCAACAGGTTTTTCTTCAGGGGCTTCATGTGTTAATCTGAAAGATGGGGGCAGGTCCAGACAGTTTGCATTTGAAATCAATTTGAGATGCTTCTGAGATCATTCAGAATTCATTGACAAGTGCATTTGACTTTCATTTAAACTCCTTCTGGCCTAAATGTAACCTTCTTTAAGCCATTTTGCATTCCCATAGATTTGTATGCAGTTTTGACACAAACAAAAGCCAGTCAACACAGGCATTAAGTTTGTATGTCAAGCCATGTGTTCTCTCTAGAGTTTGAAAAATAAGTGTTGCCATGCATAGATTTTTTTTCATCACTGGGCCCACTTTCTGCTAGAAAAAGCACAGTGTCAAACAAAAGCACAGAAAAAAAATAAAAATACATAGAAACAGACTAGAGACATGGGGACCTTAGATGTCAGCAAGTTGGGTAAGTGCTGAGGGAAAACAAAAAGATGGATCATTAAATACGGAAAAAGCCTTTTAATGGAGAAGTGGTCTTTGCAGATTTGTATACATAACAGCACAAATGTGCCTATTTCTGAACAGGTAAGTTTGTCGGGCAGAACTGATTGCCAGATGGGAGGGTAGTGTGCAGGTGTGGTTGGTGATGGGGTAGCAGAGGGGACACTTGTGGGGCAGAGATGTCAATCACTGAGTAGAGTGTGCAGTGGCAGCAAAAAGAGGCAGTTCTGACAGAATGGAGAAGCTGTAACCAGACAGTGAAGTGCCTTGGAAGGGATGTACTATGAGCAAGGGGTTAATACAGGCCTTCACTTACAATTAATAAATGCCATTATTCTAACTCTACCCCTTCTTTGTTACAGATATAAAAGGTTCCACATCCTCCTTGGATACTCGCCTCACATCCCAGGAGGCTTCAGAACAGTCTTCCACAGTTGACCAATCTCGCACAGGCACAGTAGAGGGCCAGCTGTGTGTGATTAGGAAGTGACAGCTGGCTCCCAAATTCAGGATAGGTCCAAAAACCATTGTGAAGACTTTGGGAGCCAGTTAGACCGCACTGCACCTCATGGACTGGTAGGTATGCATATTTAAAAATTCAGCAGCTACAGCATTTTATTATTTGGATAGCCAGGTGATGTTCCTTATTAAGCAACACACCTTTTGGTCACAGGTGTTAAAGAGAGAAAATATAGGAAAAGGAGCTTTGAGTTCCAAGTGCTGCCTAAGAAAATATAACATTCATGAGGAAAGAAAGGCAAACAGGGAAAAAGACAGGAGAGAACTTTGGAAAAGCTAAACTCACAATATGTAGAACAAATGTATTTTTATGGAAAGATAGACCAAGAAAAACAGACAGAGACAGAAAGAAACGGTGTGTCTTTGTAACATGTCAGTGAGTGCTATGATGACTTATGTAGATATGTTATTGATGAGTCTCTGTAAAGAAGCAATTTAAATTGCCGAACTGCATAGAGTCAATGGGTCTGCAAGCCTCCTAATCAAAAGGCCAGTTTATTAGGCTTTAGGGAACAGGACTGTGACCAGTGGGAGCAAAAAATGCCCCGGCATCAGTGGCATGAAACAATGCACCATTATTGGTGTCAGTTGTAGTAGTGCCCCAAGGCGAATTAAGGCAAGTAAAGAGTCACATCCATCCCTCAGGCCATAGTATGGAGACCATTGATTACTACTACTCCCCTGCAGTGATGTGAAGAGTGTAAACATGAAAGGTTATTTAATACAAGTGATATATGTTTAAAAAACAATTGCTGCTCAATCTAAAGCTGACCTTGAATTACAAATTGCTTATACCAGGGCTCAACAAATCCCAGGCACCAGGTTGCCATAGTGACTAGAAATTGAATCCTGGTGCTTCGGCTTTGGTCAGCCCATGCCCTGTTGCAGAGATACCCAATTTGTATCGCCCGATTCCTGGGACATGAAGTTTTGAGCCCAGGGCAGGTAGTTTTTCCTCTGCTTTTAGCCCCAGGGCTCACTTGTCAGGTGGAAGCATTTAGGCAGCCGATTGCTTCCACACATGTGGGTAAAGTGCTCTCCCACTATGTATCCGGGGCTACGCTTGCCAGCCTGTGGGCCTGACATAGCGAGTTGTCCCCCCCATATATGCATGCACAAATGTAAACGCATGTGTTGGGGTGCCTACACATAAAAACATTGATTGTGTTACACGATACATATTGCCGCGAACGCTAGAATGAGAGTAATAATTCTCGCACAAGACTTCCTCCATAACGCTAATCTGATGACCTATAGGGGGCTTTTAACGTGTCGAATATAGAAAATATAGGGTACTGAAATTTGGCTCCTATTTTTTTTTGGCTGGCTTCCAGATTAAAAGCAAATTTGTTAAGGCCTGGATTATACAATATTCTCTAGATTTATCAACCATTAACTAGTGAGAGAGCCTACATAAAAAATATCTATTCAGAAGACCGTGTGTGTGCGGAAACAAGGGTGGTTTCACATAAGAATTTACTGGCACATAAAAACTGATCAACTAGGTTGTCAAGACCAGGTTTTGGTAAAGGATTCTTGCCCATTTCCCAGAAGACATGCTTACCCAAGAGTAGGAAAACACTGGTTGTAAGGATGATAAAGAGGTAGAGAAAAATCTCTATAGTAAGGGACTCTAAATTTTTGTCCACTTTATGTCCACCTTAAAAATACGTGAAAGTAGGGACTAGAACCATCACCTTGTTAAGGCTAGAGATCAATGGATCTACCACTGGTAATGCCAACCTGTTTACCAATTCTTCAAATAGATAGAAAACATAAAAACACTCAGAATCTTTCCATTCCTGCAGCTACATTTATCAGCACAGTTTTAACACAGCAATGGGAATCTGGCAGTTCTGGGCACAGGTGCAGACTGGAACCACTGGCTGTGACAGCTGGGTCCAGCACAAAGCCCAGAAGATGAAATGATAGGCTTCTGATCCTGCTTAAAAAAAAAAACTTCTCTGGAAAATTACTGTAAACACAATGCTTCCACACTGTGTTTACTATTAGAAGTGATCTGTTGCTTCAGAGCTGACTGAGAGCCTAGATTAGGTCTCCACAGAACAGATCTAGAGGCCTCCCCCCACCACACCAAAACAATTGTAAAAATTAGATTCTATGATAATTATTACTCCCCCCCCCCCCCCCCCCCCCAGTTGAAGCCTGCCTTTACACGCACATGAACTTTAATGGCATCCCAGTATTACTCCGTAGGGTTCAATATTGAGTTGGCCCACCCTTTGCAGATATAACGGCTTCAACTCTTCTGGGAAGGCTGTCCACAAAGTTTAGTAGTGTGTCTATGGGAATGTTTGGCCATTCTTCCAGAAGCGCATTTGTGAGGTCAGGCACTGATGTCGGACTAGAAGGCCTGGCTCGCAGTCTACGCTCTAAATCATCCCTAAGGTGTTCTATGGGGTTGAGGTCAGGACTCTGTACAGGCCAGTCAAGTTCCTCCACTCCCAAACTCGCTCATCTATGTCTTTGTGGACCTTGCTTTGTGCACTGGTGAGAAGTCATGTTGGAACAGGAAGCAGTCATCCCCAAACTGTTCCCACAAAGTTTGGGAACATGAAAGTGTCCAAAATGTTGACGTCACCGCGCTCCCAGAATCCTCCTCGCGTACCGACGCGTTGCGTCACGGTAACACGTGACTTCCTCAGGACACGTGACCCTGAGGAAGTCACGTGTACCGTTACCGTGACGCAACGCGTCGGTACGCGAGGAGGATTCTGGGAGCGCGGTGACGTCATTTCCAGCGTGGCGGCCATATTTGAAATCCCTGTATTAAAATACCCATGCAGGAGATTTATAGCATGGGGTATTGAAGGCTTGTGAGGAGACAAATATAAATGTGAGTGGGCAATCTTTTCCATACCTACATTACTAAATAAACAGGTTTACACTATGTGAGTCTCTCTTGTGTTTATATATGAACCGAGGAGCAGACTGCTGATAGAGTATTAGAGGCGAGGAAGGTCCTGGTGAGCTATCAAAGTGGTGTCCTGTTTAAAAGCGAGCTGACCCTGTGGGGTCGGGACAAGGAGGTGAGAGGCCATCACGGCTAAAGTTTGGATTCACACAGTGTGGTCACGTGCGACACATGCATGAAAATTGAAAAAAGTTTTTGTTGCATCTGGACATTATAATTAATTTTCTGTGGATCTATTATCATATCATCATATTAACAGATGGTTGGAGTGATTAAGATTGGCACTAATTTGCACTTTATCTGTAAGATTTGGAATACACGGGTTGCACAAAAATTTTTTGTATGCACTATTTTGCACATTTATTTAGTACCTTGTGGTAATATTTGGAGCACTTGTATAATCAGTTTTGCACTTTATATTTATTATTATTTAGTATATTTAGAGATAGCGCTGCACTTTATATATATATTTATTCATTCACTTTAGTTGGTAAGGAGTGTTGTGTCAGCAGCTTGGTGAATAGGGCCCCATTCCTAGCACAGGAAGTTCTTGCATTTAAATGAACTAAGAAAGAGCTCACCAGCTCCCTCGCAGACCATTGAGAGTTACAAGCTGTCTGCCACGGTGGCAGATGGTGCTTGCCGTTCATTCGTTCCCAGACCTCTGAATAAATGACGCAGCTGTGCAGATGGAGTCCTGCACACCCACGCAGTTTTTGAATTGTGACAGTGGGTGCGGGGAGAGGATCCCCCACCTGCTGTCACAATGGGGAATATGGGTGTAACATGCTACTAAAATAAACTTATCCTTTAACCACTTGCCTA